ATATGTATATATATATGATAAAATAAATCAGAATCATAGAGACAAGAATCATATATTCTTTCTCATATATAGAATTTAGAAGGGAAAGCAGAAAAAAAGACATGGAGATAAATGGAAGCCAAGCATGGTGGCTATAATTCCAGCACTGGGACAGCTAGGACAAGAAAGTTGTTGCAGGTTCAAAGCCAGCCTGACTGACATTTCTAATACTAGACCAGTCAAATGGTACAAAGCAAGACTTGTGGCTTGTTTTTAAATGTCATAATTAAATCCACTGCTTTGTAATAACTAATTGTTAAATTGTTTGTTGTTGTTAGTCTCAATGTGTAGCCCTAGCTGACCCGGAACTTGCTCTTGTAGGCTAGGCTAACCTTGAGATCACTAAGACCCTCCTGCCTCTGCCTCCTTTCCATGCCTGTCTAAATATTAATTTTTAAAAGTTCCTTTACTGTTGCTGAATGATAGTGTATTATTGTCTGTTTCTATTTTGCTGTCTGAGGATGGTTCCTTCCTGCTGTAGCCTACTATTTCAGGCCTCCAGCATTTCTTTCCTTGATAATAGCCATAGTATTCCCACCAGTCTTGTCTTTGTGTTCTCAGATTCCAAGTGGAAACTGGAATGATCCTGCTGGATATAAACCAGACTACAGCCCTCCTGGCTCAACCCTTCACTGGTCTCAGAGGGCTTAGATGCAAGGGGCTTTAAGGCAGCCTGAGGTTCGTCTAGTTTCCAGGCCAGTGGGAGGAGAGAGGAAAGAGTGTGCACAGGTGATTTCAGAAATGATCATGGAAAGAGAGAGCCCTCCAGACACATCTGAGAAAACAGGCTGCTTTCTGACCAGATGGCCCATTCCTGTCTCTGGGTCTCAGATTCTCTTGAGTGTAGCAGAGAAGTCTTCATGAACTAACAGATCCTCCCCTTTCAGGACAGGCTAGCTAACATTCCCTTCCCCAAGCTTCCTCCTCTTATCTACAGCTTCCAAGGCTTCTATTCAGGCTTCTTGGTTGCCCGGATACAGCCACGTCCCTGGAACTGTTCTGAGTAGGCTGAGTGGAGGGGACTTGGACTCCAGGGTCTCAGTCTCATATAATAGGGACACTCCTACTTCACCCCTCCCTTACCATCCTGAAATGCTGATACAGAGGTTGGAAGAATGAAGTCACAGCACCTCAGCTCCCCGGCTAGTGGCTTCTCCATCTTGTTCTCACCTTTGTTGCTCCCCACCCCCCACCCCCCATTCAAGCAGAGAGCTGTTTCCTCTGTCTCAGTCAGAAAAGGAACAGTTAGACTTGCAAGGGTTCATAGAGTCATGAGGCCTATACAAAAGGATGGAGTAGTAGGACTTCATCATGCTGTACTCATTAAACAAGCATTCTTCAGTTCGTATCAGTTTTAACTTAGAGGCAAAATATGCAGAGACATTTTAAGTACACGTCCAAACTCTTACACATTTTCATATTGTGTAAGTCTGACTCTCAAATGCATGCCTTGTAAAGTTTTTGATTATTATATCCTATTTCAACTTATGTTACATTTTAAATTTGAGACAAATTTTTGCAAACAGCCAATTCAGTGTTATAAATGTGCTGATTAAATTTTAGAATGCTGCAGATCTTCATAGAAACCACAGATTTAACTTTTAAATTGATGAGTTAACTATACCACCCAATATGGACATTAGTTTGACACTAAAAATAAATGCTTTCTGTTGCCAAAATTATTTAAATCAGCGTTTTCTTTGGCCGACTATCTAAGCTTGCTTAGCTCTGCCTAGCTCAGCCACCATGTTCCGCGGCTGGAGGCCATGTGTGCGCTGCAGCTAGAAACAGCCAGCCAGAAACACCAGCCCTGCCATCCATGAGATGCCACTGCCAATCTTCCACGCCGTCTCTACAAGGCTGGGTTGTGCCCAGACCATCCCGCCATCTACGTGTGCCTGGTAGGAAATGAGACTCTAAAGCTTAAATAGTAGTCAAAGGCTTTATATATTTGGTAATGATCAATAACAATATGCCTATACAATTAGAGGTGTTTCCCAATTAACTAACCAGATATAAGTTGTTACCCAGGACTGCTCTCCATACCTGCATGGCTCTTCATCCCCCTACCTCTCTGCTCTCTCTAGCTCCTCCTCTTAATTCTTCTTACTCCTCCTCTTCCTCTCCTTACTCCTCCCACCTTAGCTCCTCCTACAGCTTTCTTTTATAATCTAATAGTAGATGACTCCCTTAAAGAAGATGTATTTCCTGATAGACATCTTCTTTAAGGGAGTCATCTACTAACTGTCCAGTGGAAAAAGGTTTTCAACAAATGGTGCTGGTTCAACTGGAGGTCAGCATGGAAAAGAATGCAAATCAATCCATTCTTATCTCCTTGTACAAAGCTGAAGTCCAAGTGGATAAAGGCCGTTCACATAAATCCAGTTACACAGAAACTAATAGAAGAGAAGGTGGGGAAGACCCTCGAATACCTAGGCACAGGGGAAAAGTTCCTGAACAGAGCACCAATGGCTTATGCTCTAAAATCAAGAATTGACAAATGGGACCTCATAAAATTGCAAAGTTTCTGTAAGGCAAAGGACACTGTCAATAGGACAAAACAGCAACCAATAGATTGGGATAAGATCTTTACCAATCCCACATCCGATAGAGGACTAATATCCAATATATACAAAGAACTCAAGAAATTAGACTCTAGACAACCAAATAACCCTATTAAAAAAATGGAGTATACCCCTAAACAAAGAATTCTCAACTGAGGAAATGCAAATGGCCGAGAAGCACCTAAAGAAATGTTCAGTATCCTTAGTCATCAGGGAAATGCAAATCAAAACAACCCTGAGATTCCACCTCACACCAGTCAGAATGGCTAAGATCAAAAACTCAGATGATAGTAGATGCTGGCAAGGATGCAGAAAAAGAGGAACACTCCTCCATTGTTGGTGGGATTGCAAGATGGTGCAACCACTCTGGAAAACAGTCTGGCGGTTCCTCAGAAAATTGGACATATCATTACCTGAGGATCCAGCTATACCACTCCTGGGCATATACCCAGAAGATGCTCTAATATATAACAAGGACATATGCTCAACTATGTTCATAGCAGCCTTATTTATAATAGCCAGGAGCTGGAAAGAACCCAGATGTCCTTCAACTGAGGAATGGATACAAAAAATGTGGTACATTTACACAATGGAATATTACTCAGCTATTGAAAACAATGAATTTGAGAAATTCTTAGGTAAGTGACTGGAACTAGAAAATATCATCCTGAGTGAGCTAAGCCAATCACAAAAGAAGACACATGGTATTCACTCACTGATTATTGGATTTTAGCCCAGAAGCTTGAAATACCCAAGATTCAACTCACAGACCACATGAAGCTCATGAAGAAAGAAGACCAAGTGAAGGTGCTTCGGTCCTTCTTAGAAGGAGTAACAAAATACTCAAGGGAGCAAATATGGAGACAAAGTGTATGACAG